CCAGTATAATAATAAAATTACATGAACTAGCTTATACGGGTATATATTATATTTGTTTAAAAAGCAAAGTCATGGTCAATTAGTATCTTTGTTTTTGCAACAAGACTAGCGCCTATCGATAGCCAGGAACTTAAGAACGTCATGTCACTTCATCAGCTTAATCTATTTGATATGCAAATAATATGTCATCTGGTTTATAATATCACTTTCGTTTTCCGCTTGTGTATGGTTGAACGCAGATTAAATTTCAAACTTGATACACATTTAATGCATTATGTTAAGGTTGTAAATCGCTCATGCACTAAACACTGAACACTGTTGTTTGGTGATCCGTGGTACGCTTTCACTGCTCTGGTCAGCTGACGTAAATCTGGCCTGTTCTCAGCATAGGCTAACCGATAAGCTTTTAATGGGTTCTCTTATCTTTATGGCACTTATTTAGTATAGTGGAACCACTTTTAATTATCACTTGATTTTGAAGAAAGAAGCCTTTGTAAACGGTCCGTCGCAGTCGTGTACATTTTAAACTTTGATCATACATGGTTATTTTTCAAAGAGTAACCAAATTTTACACTTAAATTCAAATATATAAATAATAATATACCGTTATTGCAGTTTTGAAATTATAAGTAAATAAGGCGTTTACTTTTTTGAAATTATCCCAAAATAGGCAGTAACTACGCATACGCGCGCTTCCCTGCGTGCGATTCAATTTAGGTTTTTGCCGACCGATCGACTAGAATGTGTGCGTGCATAGTAAAATAGTGGGCGTTAGATATTTATGAATGACATTCAGTTAAAATAACGCATTACCACGCATTCTGAATTCAAAAGATAAAAAGGACAGAATGTTGGAGATTTTTTAAATTAATTCCTATTCACCATTATTATTTACAATTATGAACCTTCTCTGCAAATTTGGCAATATTATGCGAAATAACCGTGTATATAGGCGACAAACGACCACTCATTCCACCTACTTAACTCAGCTTCCACTTACGACCCTGTATGAATGCTCTGTATGAAACTCAAAAACCCTACATCATAATACCTATTCTCATTGTCCACTGATGTGAATAGACCTTTATCATAAAATGCCTTATAGATGGAATATTTGCCATAGTTGCTTCGCTTGGCAGGTGAATTGGCAGCCGTAGTCTTTTTTAATTTTTTGATGCGTTTTTGGAAGATATTAACGACAGCTAAAATCAACGGACAGTTAAAGACGAATTTCCTTGGGTGAACACATTTACGTTTAACAGTGGACTAGTAAAAGGATGTGATGGTAATAATAATGTCCTCAAAACCGAATTTTGGTCACGGTAGGTGTGGGTCTATGCAGGACAGAATTATAGTGCCCAAGCGTATGCGCAAGCACAGGTTCACTCTCTATTTATTCACTCTCGTAGTCGAGTGGGACAGTAATCTGACTCGGCCGGAAAGAGTTCAGGCGCAGTACAAACGGTTTTACGTTTTTTCTGAGGCACGGAGGTGAAACACCACCAACTTCTTGACTCCGGGCTGCTCCTGGGAATTTTTTCACGGAAAACCCAATAACTGATTTTGGTGCGACCCAGGAATGGAACCTGGAACCTCATGATTAGTAATCGCTATTATGTGACTATATTTTTTTATTATAATTTTAAAACAGATTTTTGTGTTTCGTATATTTTGCTTTAGTATGTGCTAAGAACTCATTTACTAAGAACTCGACTTTCATATGATAAAACTTGAGTAATCCAAATTCAATTTCCACCGACGTAATGACATCCGCCGGAAGATAAGATCTTTCTAGCATTTCTCATAGTCGCTGTCTGTCAATACAAAAACCACGTGTCTCTTACGCTGCTGTCACACAAGATAATTTGAGCAGCTACAGCACCGTTATAATTTATTCTAGAACGTCTTAACAGGTTTCTCGTGGACTCTATACGATTGCAAGTTCCACGGCGTTGTGTCCACGTCCTGCTAAATTTAACGATTGCGTGCTAAAAATAGCACGTGTACCAACGGTATGAATGCGCCTTGAGAATTCCGGAATTATTGCCTTATTTGCTTGTAATGAGTAATAAAAACAAAGTTGTAAAGAATAACTTTCCGCTTTTGGTTAAAAAAACATAACTAAACTAAATCGTTGACTTTAAATTTACACAAATAATGACACTTCTTTCGATAAACTGTATTTACGTACTAGCTGTTCTCCGCGACTTCGTGTGAATGTGCATGGAATTTATTACGTTTAGATATTTTTTTGTGTTGAACTCTAATTTATTTTCTAAAATAAAAGTAGTTTATGTTACTCCTTATAACATTAGCTATCTGCCAGTGAAAGTCCCGTCAAAATCCGTCCAGGCATTTCGGAGTTTAGGCGGAACAAACAAACAGACAGACAGACAAAAATTTTAAAAATTTTTTTTCGGTATAGGTACCGTATATAATTTCATATTCTTTTACTAAAAAGCTGATATTTTGACATTACTTACAAAAACACAATTCAATTTTATTTATTTGTATATATTACAGTATATACATACATTATAATTATATGTTACCGTAGTAAACTTAAATACTTAATAATATTATTTAATCACATTTGGCCTAAAATGACATAATTGCAAAAAACCGATTTTCCTGACCTTTGACCTTCAATAACTAACGACGTAGTCACGATTTAATATGAGACTTTTGAGACAACTTTTAGAACGTCAAAATGAAGCTGTACACGAGTTTCAAGCTTTTTATCTCATATTTGCTAGATAACATCTGCAAAACTTTATTTGCTTTATAATGTACCTACTCGTAGTTAGTTGGCACAATTGTTGGTAACAAACAAAACTTATAGGGACCGAAAAAACAATAAAAAGTTTATATCCTTCGTAGAAAGTTGCTTTAACGGCGTCTCATTTCCATTATACGTTATAGACGTGGTTGAAGAAGCTAACGACAACTGGACCTATAGTGTTGGGACATTACGAAAGAAATGACGCAAGGACTAGTTTACATTATACGTAACCTGCGTGCCTTAATTGAGATTCCGGTGTAGATATTTCCATCGTTAGTTAGGCTTCCTCGAAACAATTTTAGGGCTGACATGTTGGCAGCGCTCCTCTTTTGCGTGCTTGGTATCACTTTTTTGTCTATTTCTGCAGTCAAACAGCCGCACACCCATTGCAATGTTCCGCTTTGAAAAGTAAAAGAGTTAATATAAGTACAGGCATTTTATTTTAGTACTCTGAGGTGACAACGCATGTGTCCCTGTTAGCATATACTTGTAACATAACAACATAAACACTCACGCCTGTCACCCAGAGGGGTAGGCAGAGACTACAGACTTCCATTTGGCACGATCCTGACACACCTCTCTCGCCTCCTTCACATCCATACATCTACGCATGCATGCTCGTCGGTTAAGGGTACTCCTAATTTGGCCCGTTTTCAATAAATCGCCAATTTGGTCGATAAATTTTCGCCTAGGACGTCCCTTTCCGACTCTGCCATTCACTTCTGCAACATAAATTTTCTTTGTCACTCTTTCCTCATCCATTCTTTCCACATGACCAAACCACCGAAGCATTCCTTTCTTAATCCTGGTCACAACATCATCTTGCAAACCACACTCTTCTCTTATCACACAATTCTTCACCCTGTCATTCAGATTCAGCCCTAACATACTCCTTAACGACCGCATTTCTACTGCATTTATTCTACTCTCGTGCTTCTTCTGCCACACCCAACTTTCACTACCATACGTTAAAGTAGGGACCAACACAGCATTGTGAATTGCCATACGTGCCTTTTTTTGACACATTTTGACTCTTCACAATAGAGTGCAGGGCCCCATTTACTCTGTTTCCTGCGTTCACTCGTCGTTCTATATCCTTATCATATCTCCCATCCCTGCTAAAATTATATCATATCTCCCATCCCTGCTAAAATAGAATATACTTGTAAATATTACTAAAATGAAGAAACGTTAAAACTAATGATAGATCAGGGTTACAACGTTAAAATTAATGATAGATATATTAGTACTAATAATTATAATTATTAATTTTGGTCAAAACAAAGGAAATGTAAGGTAAAGTACAGCTTACATATGCCTTACATATCTGGATACAATCCTCCTTTCATTTCTGAGTTAATTTGTGCCTAACAGTGGGACGTGTGTAGACTGTAACTAAACTACCACACTAGTGTTGTAGTGGTTACTGTACATACTCCTCGATAATCTACAAAATATATGAATAATCAAAAATGTAAATTTATATGACAGACGTGAAAAATTTAAAAGTTAATTACTTTTATTGAAAATTTTTAAACAATTTAACAATTTTTTTAAACGGTATAGTACTTACTGCTCGATTTATTTATCTTATAATATAGAATAACAGAAAATACATGCATAAATTCACGCCTATGACTCAGAGTGGCAGGCAATGACTACAGAGTACATACTTCCATTTTGCACGATCCTGACAAACCTCTGTCGCTTGTTTCACATCCAGATTACGCGTCCTTGCTCGTCGTAGTTGTAAGATTTGTCATAACTTCTTAAACGACTAATTACGACTACTTTACAATAGTTAAAGTTTATATTGAAAACAATAATTTTTAGAAATCTATTTTAAAAGAACTTACTATACAAATAATTTATCAATAGAATGGACAATAGAATCCACTTAATCACATCATGTTTACTGCCTAACACAAATGATGAAGTCAATAATTCTCAAATGCAAACTGCTATTAGCCTCTTTTTGTTTATTTCTCCATAAGATTTATATTAGCATGGAGCATTATTGTACTTTAACTAATTGCTGTTATGTGAATCCACTGATTAGGAACATGGGAAATTCAAACTTAATCCATATAAAGCAACAGCAAATTGTTACAACTATCATTTATCTTAATGTTCATAGCATTAATATTTGCTCGTTTGAGAATTTAAAAACAAATAATATCAACCGATTCTTAGAAATGATTATGCTCTCTTGTTGCAGTATTTATCTGGAGAGACATGCCAACATCGCTATCAGTACGAGAGGAATCAGCAGAGGCTTGTTACACGGTATAAGAAGATATACTTGTCTTGATAACGAGAAAATAATATCGTTAAGCTCTTAATATTGAGTGTGAAAAAAATAAGTACATTCTTGTCAAAGTATTTGAAGGCGATAGAACTCTTCAAAAAAATCGTTTGGACAGCGCGCCTTTTTCGGGTGGCAGCTATCTTGTTTACTAGTGCAGTGCAGTGAACTTTCTTTGGCAAAATGGCGACGACTGGCAGTGAGATGTGGCTTCAGTGGTTCGCGTGTTGCTACCAGCCAGCCGCGCAAGCGCAACGCACGCGGCGGAGAATAGACCGATCTATGATTGGAGCACCAACCAACTTCCAGCACACTGGACACATAGGTACGTTCTATCCATCATCTCTTTAAAATAAATTATAACAAGATAGCAAGAACGCTTTGGAAATTCTCGAAAGTAAAATATTTTTATTAGTAAAACAAGAAAACAAATCGGAATCAACAACATGTTAATAAACTTTTATTTTTGGATTTAATTAATAAAAGTTCTTCATACCTAAAGTAATTTAAAATTTAGACGTTATTCATCAATTAGAGAGCCGTGGTAACTCAGTGGGCGTAATTTTCACACTACGTAAGCAACCCGGATTCGATCCCCGCCGGCACCAATGAAATTGTTAATTGCAATTTTAAGTGCTCATTTACCGCCTGCTCGGCGGGGAAAGATAACATCGTGAGGAAACCTGCATGTCTGCGAAATAAGAAAAAATATTTCGAAGACATGTGAAGTTCGTCAACACGCATTGGGGCAGCGTGACGGACACTTCCTTGCCCTAAAACCCTCTCAGAAATGAGAAGAGGCCTGTGCTCAGCTGCGGGACGTATAGGTTGTAACTTTAACTTTTAATTTAACATCTTAGAATTAATAAGAAAGGCATTCTAATCCCCGTTAATAAAGTAGTTCTGCGAAAAATATAAATAATGCCCCGCGCAAGTTTCGCATTAATTTCTTGTCCAATTACCCTACCCTAATTCGAATTGATGAATACTATTAAGTTGGCAACCGAAAACTAACTTAAAGTTGAAAGGCTAGGCGAATTGTTTAGCGGCTATTGAAAGCTGTGAAATTTTTGTATTAAAAACCTGAGTTAATGAAGTGAGTGAATGAAAATTACTCAAAATAATGCCAAAAAAGTATATTGATAGATCTACTAACATGGAGTGTTGTAATGTTTTTGCGGCGAACTGGAACCTAAACTAAGGTATCCCTGTATTTCAGGACTATACAGGTCGCTGACTACTTACAATTTTGTCGGAATTTGCTTGCTTGAATATCTTTTACTAACCTTGTCACCTTTCAAAAGAGCGCTATGTTCTAAAATGATATGTTCGGCATTTTTAGGAACAAGACCGTATGGTCATCGAAATATTCAAACGACTTCTTCTTCATATTTTAATTTATGGCTTCTCTTGATAGAATTCTGCCATTGACAGGTCCATGTCAAGTTATTAAAAGACAAAGTCCAAAATACTCTAACTGGTTTCACTAACATTTAGTTCCATGTTATCTTATGCCATCACATAACCTCACGTTAACCTACAATAACATCCCAGACGACAAAAAAAATACGGGTGGCACTCGGTGACTGCCACGGTAAAGCTATTGCATAGCATTTTTTATCAACTTATGCAATTATAATTATTTATTTATTTTATTTATGCAGTTAAGTCTTTGATATTAAATCAAGTTACACTTTTTGAGCGTGGTGACCGATAAGAAAACAATTTTTTTTCTCTTATTGAATAAATGAGAAGTTAATATTGTTTAAAATATTTTTAATATCATACAATACATGTAAGTTATTCAGGAATTTTCATGATTGAGTTAGCAGCTAGTGTACACGCATACGTCTAGTCGCACGCAAACAAACACCGTGCCGAAGTCTGCCGAGTGCCGAAGTCTGCCGAACTGAAACGACGTTAGACGATGCACGGCTTTCAACGCCGCACCTCCGTGGCCGTCGGAGTGGGGAGCGTGAGGTTTTTTTTCGTTACGGAATTTCTGGATTCGGTCCCCGCGCTCAAGGCCCGCGATAGAAGCTATGCAATAGCTTAAAAAATTGATATCCTTTGCAATATACGAGATTAAATTAATAAACAATACGAATAATAAATTAACCCAGCTTCTAGTGACCTGCGGTAAATTGGAAAGCCTATAAGTCTTTCTCATTTACCGCAAACATATTTTTTACATACTTTTTTAAATAGAATAAGGGTAACAACGAGCACACAGTCCAATCGATGGTGAGTAGATTCTGTGGTATCTACATTTATCCTCGTTTAAGAATCAAGACGCAGATGCGTTGTCACCCCTAAAGACTAAGATGGAATGCCCCGTTTCCAGTAAAAAAGGATCTCCTGATCTCTACATTCACCATAGCTGGTATTCGAAGCTTGGTCCTTCCCTGATCCAGCCGATCCATTCGTGCTACAACCAATAATACAGCTGCACCGTGGCTCTGGGTAGACTCCAATGATTCCTGCTATCATAGGAATTGACAGAATTTTTTAACAGTTTTGGAAAGGAACCTAGATTTGTATACCAGAACAAACCTTGTACAAACATACATTATCAAAATAAAGATTTAGTGACTTGGGAATAAAATACATTTATAACCTTACTCATATATATTACGATAATAATTTATAATACATTTATGGATGCAGCATTTATATTGCTGTGTTTATATGGTAAGCGACGAGAACCGGAGACCTTTTTTACTGGTAGCGAGGCATTCCAGTTTAGTTGTTAGAGCTAGTACATCTGAATTTTAAATGTTAAACGAGGATAGATAAAGGTATCTATGGACCTACAGCATCCACTTACCACCATATGAACTGAATTCTCGTTTGTCATCTTTACTGTTATAAAAATGTATCAATAATGGCCAATAGTTTTGCCAAGTAATTATTACCTATTTGTGTAGTTAAAAGTGATCAGAGTTTTCTACGAGTGTCAGTCAAATTACAACCGAAAAAGTTCAAAAACGTTCAAGTTCAATAACCTAAGCCATAGGGCAGTACACAATGTCGAATGTTGGCCAGCAACAACATTTTTTGCTTGCTTATACGTTTTTTTTTGTTACAACTTACACAGACGTACGTATCATATTTATGTCACCGAAAAATGATTGTCTGCACAAAAAATACATCGTGTAGACAAATACTGTTAATTTAATAAGAACGATGTCGAAATATAAACATTGTTGGGTCATTGCTTCTAAGATTTTATTTAGTCACGTCAGAAACATTATTTGTGTCAGAATATTGGCTCATTCAGAACGCACTCACGCAAGGGCTCACGTTCCTACACTAATTCAATAAAAAAATTGACACATTCTTTCTTTCACGATGTGTGTTTCATCATCGTCATCGTCATCGTTACAGTCCTTCACAAGTCCACTGCTGTACACAGGCCTACCACAAGGATTGCCACAACGCACGTTCCTGAGCCACTTGCATCCATCGACTTCCTGCATATTTTACGAGATTGTCACTCCATCTTATGGGGAGCCGCCCTCCTATTTGCTTACGTGTGTATTTATTGTGGAGTTTTTAAACGACAGCAGCTTAATAGTTAATTGTGCGGACCCCAAACATGGAAAATCGTAGGTACGAATCCGCGATTCGATAACTGTCGTGAACCAACCCTAACACGAGCATTATAAGCTTAGGAGTGGTTAACGGATGTATAAATAATGTTAGTAGCTAACTAATATTCCTTTTTAATAAAAAATCTCATATCGGGAAAGAAATAATTAAAAGAAAATTACTCGAAACTTAAAGGAAATTGCGCTATTTTTCTGAGTTCTGGGTTAATACCACCCAATCACATTTCTGCCGTCAAGCCAGCCAAGTGCGTCCACAGCTACGTTTCAGTTTGAAGAGTCGGTATCTAGAATTTTCATAATGCATCTGGTCATATATTATATATATATATATACCTACGAGTATATTCATGGCATACATAGGTCAGGTACGCAGGTACACGCTATCAGGTAGAATATTGGATCGTTTTTGCTACTTTCAATTTTATTTTTATGGCCTCAACTTATTTAAAATCACTTACTTCTCCCATAAAACAACCTAATGTGCGGCTAAGCATATTGTAGGTATATTTTTTTACTAAATAAATTCTTTAAATCTTCAATAAGAAGTAAGGGCGTCATCTACACGACACGCAAGGTTACGGTCGATAAGTGGATGCCGCGGCTGCGGCTAATAATTTAAGAAAAATTTTTTAGAGAATATGAGAGTAGTTGTCGTTGTCGAACAAATACAAAACATTATTATTAAGATTGAAGTTCATAAAGTTAACAAACCAAATGGTGCTTCTAATGTGAGTAGACAAGCTTTCAAGTTTAATTAGTGACGTAGCACTATCGTATCGACTAGTTACAGGCAACGGATAAGAATTTATCGACACTCGAAAACTATCAAGCTTATCAGTCCCATCCATGTCTCGATAAGTCGCTGTCAGTCAATCGATATCACGTAACCTTCGAGAATACGATGTAAATGACCGGTTACTGAATGATAGATTGGTAATATACACGGCGCAGGCGCGTGCCGATATAAAAACAAACGCTTTGACGAAAACAGCATTTTATTATGCTTACATAGGAGCATACCTTATGACTTAACACTTAAAGATAATAATATCCTCCAGACCGAATTTCGGTCATGGTGGCCAGACTCAACGGAGGCTAGCATTTGCGCAGGACACTATTATAGTGCATAAGTGTATGCGCAAGCATAGATGTACTGTCTATACCCTCAATCTTACAATCCGATGGGATGTCAAACAAGACTGTCCGAGGTACACATACAAATTTTATTATCGTCATTAGATTGAATGACATTCTGGTAAGACATACAGGAAGTCGAATGAATGCAGGAGGATCAGGGTCGTCATTTTTGGCATGCAGTACAACAGTGGACTTGTGATGAGCTGTAATGATGATGACGAAATCATATTACTAAGATTAATATCAGATATCGCTAATGTATTTCGTCATTGTGTACAAACAATGGAGCTGAACACGCGAGATGCTTGCATCAGATCATCTAACAAACTTCAATCCACTGTCGTGTGATAACGATGTTATAATGTCTTACGCATTGTCGTCGTCAGCCACGTGGAGTGAGTTTTTATGTTTTTTCTCCAAGGCTCAACAGCCCCCGGTCTTTTTTTATAGAATTAGGGTGACAAGCGAGCACAAAGTCAACCTGATGGTAAGTAGATGCTGTGGCCCATAGACATATAAACTTAACCACGATTACGAATCAAAATGCAGACGCGTTGTCACCTCTGAGGACTAAGAT